GCGGCTGTCGGGCTCGGTAGTGAGCTTGGACTTGCTTCTGATGTTCGCTTTGGGCGCTTTACTGTCCCGAGCTGCTTGCCTTTGCCACGTGTCGGGCGATCGCGAGGTCGGGCCAAATTTCCCTTCATCATACCCCTAACACTTTTGCATAGAAAATATAATTGACTAAATAGAGAAGAATAGAGTGGTTGTCTATGTTTTACTAGGGACAAAAATGGCATTTTTATTTTTAGGATAGATTTTAGTAAATTCAAGAATCTATAAGGGGTGTATATATATATATATATATGTATGTATGGAATATTAAAAGAAATTGAAGAAAAATTTTCAACACAGGGTTCACATATAACAAGAAACTCATCTGGATAAGGTTGTTCAAAGAATCATGTGGCAATGTTGATGATATTGTCACTTGCCAAAAATTAGTCTTGGGTTGCCTCTTGAGCTGCCATTGAATATGAATCTAGGTATTCGATGCTTTTGGGTTGATCAAAAACTTAATGAGAGATACCCTAATTCTTGTCTACCCAACACCTGCAATCACTTGCCATTTCCTTAGATGTCAAGCATCACTTAGGCACACTTATGTTGACACCTAGCCTTAACACCATGAAATGAATTAGAAAACAAACAATATAGACGTTTTACCAATAAATAACACAAAAGGAAAATTGATAACATAAAATATCTATAGCTACAAGGTCTAAAGTTGGCCAAAATTAACACCAAAATCTAAGCATTCCAAATGTTTAAACTTTGTGTGGTAAATCTACTACTCTATCATCAGGAAAAAATTCATTGTTTCCCTTCAAAGATCCTTTGTTCATCTCCTTCCAGATATCCCAAACAATTAATTAACCATAAATTGAAGATGTTTATCCCACCTTCGATTTTGAAGTCTGCATTCCGATTCGACTATGACTTTTTATTGGTAGTTAGAAGTGGATACGTTATTAATTAGGGTACGGAGTTTGTTTGCACCTGGCCCTACAATTTTGAAACCAGACTTTGACTTCTCATGGTTTCAACTTTAGCTGTAAAGCCAACACTTCCTTTGGTTTTTACCCCCAACACAAAATATCAAAATAGGAATGTTAGTGATAAGAAAAAAAAAAAAAGACTGCAATTGCATGGAAGATGATCATCGAAGAGGGTTATCATCTGCGAAGGAATGAGTTATAGGATTCAAGGTCTGATTCTATCTAAAACTCTCCCAGGAGATGAGATTGTTCTTCTGTGAGGTGGAGCTTCTTACCGTGAGGGCCTTCACCACCACCATCACCCAAGCCAGTCTCTTCTTCTTCTTCTGCACTTCCCACTTCTTCTGTACCTGAGGGGATTTTATTTATGTGCAGCTCTTTCATCCCGCTACCACCATTTGAAAGGAAGAAGAAGATTTGAATTAGTGCTTTTCCATGTTTAGCAATTCTATCAGAAACTAGAAAGAAAATAAAAAAGGCCAAAAATTTACAAGTGGATCGGACTAACCTACTAAGAGAGAAAAGATTGATCCAGTATCCTCCAAAAAGCCATAAAGAAAAAGAAAAGAAGAGACTCACATGTTGGAAGAAAGCCAAGACTCCATCTGAAAATAAACTTGATCAAAAAGGAAGGAAAGAAAAGGAGACAAAATGTACTTTAATGTGAGCAAAAAGAGAGGAAAAGAAGAAACAAGCAAAACTAAATTGGAACTAAACCCAGCTATAAACCAGATCCAAGACATATACATAAATCAATAGTCAAAGAGATTAAAAAAAAGTCGAGTAAATTAGAAGGATTGAAAGAATACAAGTTTTAACATTACAAATCATAAAAGAAATTGAAAGCCCATAAACAGAGAAGGCACGAACTTGAATAAATGAACACAGTGATAAAACCTTTGAAAAATTTTGCTCTCCCTCAGCATCGCCATCTTTGTCGGATTTTCCAAAACCATCAGTGTTCTCGTGGCTAATCTCAACCGTGTCTTCTCGGCCTCCACCTCCACCTCCATGCTTGCCGCTGCTGGTGTGTCGACATCTCGAAAAACACCAGCCTTCAAGCAGAACCTGAAAGAAAATGAAGGAAAAAATAAAAAAGAATTGAAAAAGACCAACTAAATTAAAAACCAAAAGGGTTTTTTTTCAGCCACTCCCACCTACTCTAACAATGACGGACATCTGTGACTACGACACCCTCTTGTTGTTGGCTCCCCTCTTGGGTAGTTGTCTTGGGTTTCTCTGCATACTCTGATTTTCCACTTTCTTGTCCATCCTTCTTATAAGAATGGCAGAAGTAGAATAGTAACTGTTCATAGATAAACCATCGTGGAAGCGTCAATCTCTTTGAATGTAGGAGATGAAACCGTTTGGAGGAAAGGTACTCAATTCAAAAGTGAGAGATGAAACTTCTGTGTTTTATTTGTATTTATACTATTAAAAGCATCATTGAGGGTGTGGAACTTTCTCTTTTACTAAACTAGMCTTATTTTTTAATTTAATTCCTCTTTAATTCCGAGGGCTAATAATGTAATATTCCTTACAAATTTTCACCTTATTTAATTCCCTTCTCATTAAGCCTTATAGTTAAAGAACTAATAGACCTTTTCTCATATTAAATTTTGTATTTACTGTATTTTTATTTAATAAATTCTAATAATTAGATCTTTACCAAATACTTTTTAACAATATGAAACCCATATTTTTTAAAAGGGTAAAATGCTAAAACCTCCTGTGAAGTTTCTAGCCATTGCTGAAACTTCTCTTGAAATTTGGTATTTGCAATCACCTCCCTTGAACTTTTTAACACAATGGCAATCACCTCCCCTGAAACTTCTTAAGGAAGGTGAATGCAATTACCAAACTTTAGGGGAGATTTTCCACTTAAGGTTAATATTGTCATTTTCCACTTTCATCTAATGGAAGGTCGGTTAAGTAAATTGATTGCAAACTATAGGGGATGTTTTAGTAAAACAAAACCTATAGGATAGATTTTAATAAATTCATGAACTATAGGGGTGTTTTAGTAAATGACCCTATTACATGCATATATATATACACGCTTTTGTGTTTTATTTATATTTATACTATTAAAAGTATCACTTAGTGTGTGGAACTTTCTCTTTTACTAAACTACCCTTGTTTTTAATTTAGTTCCTCTTTAATTCCGAGGATGTTTTAAGTAAATTGATTGCAAACTATAGGGGATGTTTTAGTAAAATAAAACCTATAGGATAGATTTTAGTAAATTCATGAAAATATAGGAGTGTTTTAGTAAATGACCCTATTACATGCATATATATATACATACTTGTGTGTTTTATTTATATTTATACTATTAAAAGTATCATTTAGCATGTGGAACTTTCTCTTTTACCAAACTACCCTTGTTTTTTAATTTAGTTCCTCTTTAATTTTGTGGGCTAATAATATAATATCCCTTACAAATTTTCACCTTATTTAATTCCCTTCTCATTAAGCCTTATATTTAAGAAACTAATTGACATTCTCTCACATTAAATTTTTTATTTAAGGTATTATTTATTTAATTAATTCTAATAATCAGATCTTTATCAAATACTTTTTTAACAATATAAAACCCATATTTTTTAAAGGGTAAAATGCTAAAACCTCCTGTGAAGTTTCTGTCCATTGCTGAAACTTCTCTTCAAATTTGGTATTTACAATCACCTCCCCTAAACTTTTTAACACAACTGCAAGTAGACCCCTTATCTTATAATCATCTAATAAGCTACAATTTTAAACTTTCTTTTGTTGTTATTCATAAAGTTTGCATTACGCTATGCATAAAAACAATTTCAATGGTAACTACATGGGTATTTTGGACATTTGTGTGCCTCTTCTCTTGTTAGAAGATTCTAAGAGAGGGGATTTACTTGCAATTGTTTTATAAAGTTCAAGGAAGGCGAATGCAATTATCAAACTTCAGGGGAGATTTCAACAACGATAAGAAACTTCAAGGTAGGTCTCAATAATTTATTCTTTTCTAAAATTAACCAAAAAAAMAATGAAACCATTCTTCCATACAAGTGGTGGATAATCCAATTCTACCATTTGCGGTCAACTGAGTGAATCTTTGTGGGACATTTCTCTAATATTTTATATTAATCATAATAAACAAAAATAAGTGTCATAAACAAGAATTGTTTATATTGACAATGGAAATGAAACACAAATTTTTAAAACCAACCAAAAAATGAAATTAATTTCCTCTTTGGTCCAGATCAACAATTCAACTTTTAGTTCAAATGTGCCAATATTTGATGTCATAATTAAACAAGAAAAACTAAAAAAATAATCAAAATAAAAAAGAACATAAATTTTGCAAAAAAGAAAATAGGCACATCTCTAATATTGTATATTCATCATATTAAACAAAAATAAGTGTTATAAATAAGTTATATTTATGCACATGTTATAAAAAATGTAATTTAAATTTAGTCCATTTTTAATTATGAGGGCAAAAATGTAATTTAAACTATTATTTTTCTCCTCATTAAGTCATATATTTGAGGTGGCAACGCCTATTCTATATCATTAAATGATATGTTTAAGATAKTTTCTCACCAATAAATTTTGTTATTAGATCTATATCCAATACTTTTAACAATAAATCTCATTTTTCTAAGTTGAACCAAAAAAATGAAATTGTCCTTTTGTCTAGGTGGTGGACAAGCAAACTCAACTATATGTGTCAAATGGGTCAAGCCATGATGTCATAATTAAATAATAAAAATTAAAGAAAGACAAAAACAAAAAAATACATAATTTGGATGTATATTACTATCTTCATCATCTAAAGGAAAATCAAGATCCATATTCATGAGGGTTTGGCCTTAATGTCTTTTTGAATAAAATTAATAAATAGAAAATAAAATTGAAGATGTCATTCTTACCCCTAATAAAATGTGGGTGACTGCTCCATTTAGTCAATTTTATTCTCTATTCAAAGAAGATATGCATTGTAACGAACAATATGGATACCATCGTTCCCTCTTCTTCATCCTATAGAAAAAAAAAATTGTTTGGTAAATTTGCAAACCAAACATTAATTTTTCCTTTCTAAGAGATTAATGTGAAGTTCTAAGAGTACTTACCAATTGATGGTGGCTCAATTGGTTGGGCCTTTGGCTTGTTGTAGAGGAGATTTGGGATCAAATCTCGTTGCTACTAGGGTTGGGGAGTTATAGGTATAGGGGATGGACTACCCCCAATTGTGTGGCCCCATCAATCAAAAACATAAAATAAAATAAAATAAAAAAGGAAAGAAAAAGAACTACCTAAAACACTTTCTGGAAGAAATGGCCTTGGGCCCATGCACTTAAACATTTTACAATCAGTTTAGGCAGTCACATGACCATTCCTAGATGGCAACACACAAAATCACAAATGGTCTTAAATGGAAGATCGTTTAAGTAATAGATTGTAAAATATTGGGGGTATTTTAGTTATAAAACACAAACTATAGGGTAGCTTTAATAAATTTGTGAAACTGAATGTGGTGTTTTATCAAACTATAGGATAGCTTTAATAAATTTGTGAAACTATATTGTATCAACCGAACTGATTATAATGGTTCTAGATCCAATTTTGTCCTCATTAATAATTGGGCCGGTTCTACTTCTTACCTGTCCCAAATTGATTCAAGCTTAGAAATGATTATTTTATTAAATTATATATAATATTTCTWAATTTTTTATAATTTTTATCATATTTTTTGTCTAAAATGGTGAATTTGATAGATGATAAATAATTATATTAGTTAAAAATGTTTAATTTATTAATATATATATATATATATAATTTAGAATTTTTCTATCATTTCTATTAATTAGGACGGTTTTGGGTCTATAATTTCGTTCTGATTAATAATCAATTTGGGGCTAGTTCCACCTAGACCCAACCCAATGACAATCCTAAGGAAATGCTTCAAATGAGGTCCCAAAAGAGCAAATGCTTATATATTTTATGTTTTAAGACTTGTTTGGTAATGACTAGGGGTGGCAATTTTTCACCCAACCCGCTGAATTCAGCCAACCCACCCAGTATCTAACCCGCCCATTTACTTGGTGGGTTGTGTGATCAACTCATCACCCAACYTGTCCATTTAAATGGGTTGGGTTGGGTTGTGGATAACCATTGGGTTAACCATTAGAGACATTAGTATTAATTCTTTARCCTCTTTTTTTTTTATTTTCTTCATTTGAATTAAATAATTTATAATTAATGCATTAATTTGACCCAAGTCCAGACCAATTCAACGCGGTTTGACCTGATCCAACATATACCGATCTGGGTCGACTCGAATCCGAAATAGACCTCGGATGGGATGGCTCGGTTCCACTTGCTTTGCCCAGTTTGGGTCGTCCGGTCCAACCATTATTCATACAGCCCAGCTCGACCCGGTAAAAGCTGAAACGGGTCGACCCGAATCCGAAACGGTTCGGACCGAGTGGGGTTCGAACCCTAAATTGCCCCGCTTGCTTTTCCCGATTTGGATCATCTAGTTTGATTCATATCTGTACAACCCAACCCAAATCTGGTCCAGTCCGATTTACTTCTTTTGACCCACTTCGGGCCAATCGGTTCGGCCCCAGACCCGTGCACCAACCTGATATGAGCCGACCCAAGTCAATTCACCATTTGACTGAACTGGTCCGGTCTGGTCCGACTGGATTGAACCGTCACGGTCGAGGTTTGGACCAACCGAACTGAACTGGTCCGGTCCGGTCGAGTCTGGTCTGACTGGACTGAACCGGTTCGAGCGGGGTCTAGTTTTGAATTAAATAATTTATAATTAATGCATTAATTTTCTATTAATTATTGACTAAATTTAGTTTTGTCTTGAATTGACACACTTCACCCAACATAAATCCAAATCAATTTGACCCAAGTTCGGACCAATTCAATGCGATTTGACCTGATCCAACATATACCGATCCGGGTCGACTCGAATCTGAAATAGACCTCGGATGGGATGGCTCGGTTCCACTTGCTTTTCCCAGTTTGGGTCGTCCGGTCCAACCATTATTCATACAACCCAGCTCAACCCGGTAAAAACTTATACGGGTCGACCCGAATCCGAAACGGGTCAGACTGAATGGGGTTTGAACCCTAAATCACCCCGCTTGCTTTGCCCGATTTGGATCGTCTAGTTTGATTCATATCTGTACAACCCAACACAAATCTGGCCCGGTCCGATTTACTTCTTTTGACCCACTTCRGGCCAATCGGTTCGGCCCCAAAACCGTGCACCAACCTGATATGAGCYGACCCAAGTCAATTCACCATTTGACTGAACTGGTCCAATCTGGTCCGACCGGATTGAATCGGCACAATTGGGGTTTGGACCA